TACTTTGTGTTATGTGGGTCTTTCTCTTAGGTTTCATTGCATAAAAAAATCAACCAACTAAATAGTTATTATAAACAAATCTGATGCGTTTGCTTTTTTATTGGGTTTGGTTTAGATATGATCTATAATATATTGATTGCTAAGAGAAAGAGATATTTTATAGAGAGAGAAAGGACGATGGGTGGGAGTTATGTTCATGTAGTATGTAAAGGGAAAATTTTGCTCATGCTTGAAGGTGAAGGCTAACAATTGGCTATCGAATTTCACTTTAAGTCGGCAACCTTCTGTTATGGTTTACTGTGTCTATTTCGAGGTTGTGCCATTCTTAAGTTGTGGATCCACATATTTACATAGGAAATATTTTCTGTTTATTGTGCATTTGCTTCTTTATATTCCACTAACATAAATTTATGTTAATGATATTCATAAAAAATGACGTGTGTGTATATATGGAGATCTTGGTGACCTATTGGTGGGAATAAGAAAATGATATGTGAAACTATGATCTCATTAATGGAGAAAAACAACTTTCGAAGAGGAGAAAACAAGTTTTGAAGCTTTTCTCTGTTAAATGGTTAAATACTAATCTTTAATTAAGGAATGGTAGTTTAGTAATATCATATGATATTTAAAAAAAAGTTTAGATATGTTTTTTAATATTAAAGTAGTTTAATGATTTAATCCAAATTAAAATATGAGTTTAGATATAAATGTAAAATTTATAGTTTTTTAAGGTAGTTTTAAATTTTATAAGGATATATAATAAATATTTAAAGTTTGTAAGGATATATATGAAATTATCCTTAGATTAAAAATGATATAAATGTCATCCCCTATCCTAATAAATAAGTAGAATAATGCCACATGTCATTCTCCCAGCCCCCAAAAGACAGTTTTCCCGCTTCTTTTTTTCAACTCTAATTACGAAAATGTCATTTAGTTAAATTAGGGAAAATAAATCCGGAAAAAACTAATATAAAAAATGCAATCAAATAATTAAAAAGAATAAAAGATTTGCAAATAATATGAAAATATCGGTTATTCAAGTTTCAAATTTCAAATACCCCATTTAATATGGAAGTTTGTTTATTGTGATTGGAAATTAAATAATTTCCAGTGATTAAATCCCAAAAAATCTGCCCCAAATTATGAAATACCGAAATATATACAATTACATACCATGTATACGCTTCTTTTGTTTTCAGTATTCAGCTTCAGAGAATCAAAGAATTATTTGCAAACGGTATTTATCTTCGGTTCTTCTTCACTGTTTTTAACGTAATTTATTCAATCATGTACCTTGCTAACATAAGTTCTTCAATCCTTCTTGTCGGTACCAGCTTTACTGCATAATCATCCTCCGCCCTCTTAATCCTGCAACGCTTCCATAAACACATATCAGATTAGTCTTTTCAAAATAATTTGTAGTATTTATTTAACATTATGTTAAGATCGTTTTATTATTGTTAGAATAAAGAACCAGAAATCAAGATTACCAAAGTTTGTATGCTCTTCGTGATCTGATTTCTCAGTATTTGTCATGTTTTCAGAATATGACCGATCTTCTTCTTCATCATTTCCTTATTCTTCTTCCTCATCTACTTCTTCTACCTGTTCAGTTAAAAACACCATTTACCAAAACACGATTTAGATGAGCCAAAAAAAGATAGTTATTGATTGTACCTATCAAAAAGTCCGATGTATACAAACATTGGTGTTTTCATTGTTATTTACTATAGCTATCAAACATCAGACATTGCTATCAAAAATCATAAAGTTTTTTAATAACAATGTCTGTTTTCATTGTTATTTACTGTAGCTAGCAATGTTATCATAGAATGTTTTTTTGTCTATCCTATAATAAAAAAATCTACAAGTTACATGAGGCAAAAAATAAAGTTAAATTAAAAAAACAACAATCTACTTTTAACTTATTTTTTATATTACCATTCTATTTAAAATTTCCCTGTTACAACATTATACTTTGTAAATAAATGTACCCAATTTCACATGTCCACTAAAGTTGTCATTTTATTTTTCTGAATATAGCTACAATTTGATTATTAAAATCTTATTTCGTTTTAATGATTTTATTATGTTTGTTTTTTAGGGTTTTTTATTCTTCTCAGTCATATGTTTACAACAACATGTATATGAATTCCTCTTTGGTTTTCCTAATTTTGTTCTTCGCTTTCCTTGAAGAATAATGCAAAGTCGATGATTTATAATTTCAATTAACGCCCGTTTACCATTTTTTTATGTTAATTGTTTTGGAATTGTGATTGTTCCTGTAAATGCAGATTGCACAAGGGATTAATTGTTTTGGAATTGTGATTGTTGCTAATCCAGGGACCATTTCAGTAACTTTTTGAAAAATCTGCTATGTCTAAAGAAATTTAGAAACACTGTTTATTTGGTGCAGCTATCTTATTTCCTATATTTGTACTAAATATTAACTATTTTAGTATTGCTGCATATATCTTATTTGCTATATTTGTATTAAATAGCAACCATTTTAGTATGTATTTGTACACTTTCAATATCTGCATATCTTACTTTACAAAAATTCTTTTTGCTTACATTTCTATATGCTTTCAATTGTCTTCCAGAAAATGAATATTGGGAATAAAGTCAACCTAAAAAACATTGAACACATTGATGATAATTCACATATCAAGATACGGGTGCTGAAAATGTGGAACTTTGTCAAAAATAATACGGTTTGTTCAATTGAAATGATCTTGATGGACGAGGAGGTTTGTTGTATTTTTTATATTTCTTATACCTCATTCAGTATTACATATGTTGCAACAAACATATAATTATTATTTAATTTATTTAACAGGGTACAAAATACAATTCTCGTGTCTTTAATCAGAATTTCTTCAGATTTGGTCATCTATTAAAGGAAGATGAAACTTATATAATTCTAAAACCCAATATGGCGGCTGTTATTAATGGTTTTAGTCACATAGGTCATAAGCAAACTATAACTTTAGATTGGAAAAGTATCGTAAAAAAATGTGAGGATTTCTCAGGTCCGGTCAATGGATTTATGTTTGTTGATTTTAATTCTATCATAGAACAAACATGCCCAAGAGACGCATTTTTTGGTTAGTTATTAAATTTTATTCCAATTACTTTTATCACTTGTGTTCTTTATTTTACATTTCATTATTTATTATTTTGATGTTTTAATAATAATGCTATAGTATAACTTGTGTTATACGTGTGTAGATGTTATTGGACAGATTGTCTCATTTCGACCGCTGGAAACATCAAATCCTATAACATCCAAGCATTATATAAAACTCACTCTTAGCAACCTAGAGTGAGCTTATATATTTTTTTATTTCTTTATAGTATTAAATAAATAGTATTAAATAAATTCTTTATTTAAATATTATTTAAATAAAATACACATGTATTAACATAAAAAAATAGATAAATTGTCAAGTTCTTCGTCCGCTGCAAATCAATATTCTTCGAAATTGGTAACCGATGCTTACAAACGTACGTTTATTTATTCAATTGTATTATATAAACATATTATTTACCTAATTTCACATTTCATATCCTATCCTATGTCTTCTTATGTAGAAAACAACAGTAACATGTACCACATGCAGGCCAGAGAGAAAAGAAAACAAAGAAAAATATATTTGGAAAATAAAAGATCGAAGAAAATTAAAACAACATCGAACGTTCCAAATACATCATTACAGCATCTCTTAAAAAATATAATTAACTGTAACCGTATTATTATTTTATATTCTATATTTTACTGTTACATAGTTGTATACATATATTTACAAGTTTTATAAGTTGTTGCTATTTGCAGATCAATCAACCAACATTGTTGCTCAAACTCAAAATGTCAATTCATTTACAACACCTGCAATGCATAACACAACCATACAATACTCTCCTTCATTTACAGATGTTAGAACTCCGTTTTCTAACATTACAAATGTTAAAAATCCGTTATCTAACATTAGAAATGGTAATTATTTATTGTTTTTAAAATATACTATTAT